GCAGCCGGTGTAGGAAGCCCGCTGTCGTTTGTATGTTCACCCGCGTGGTACGTGCACAGTTTTAAAAGTTTTCTATCTTTGTTTTCTACTTACCAAGTTCATAGTGGGTGTACTTCAGTACTTGAGTAAGCAAAAGAACATACGAATGGCTGAGGGCATCCTACACTAGGGAGTGGTGATTTAACAAACAAGAGTACGCTCTCTTCTTCTATTTATACTCTTTGTTATTCTGGATTTAGTTTTGCAAAATCACTCTAATAACTATAGATAAGCAAAATATGAAAAATGTGAGCATAGCTGAGGAAAAAGTCTTGTAGAACACAACATACAACTAGAACAAAAACATTGTTTCATATACCATACTATTTTATTTCTTTCTCCCAATAAAAAATTAAATAATTTACTATCATCTAGCATCCATGAACACTATATAAAAAAACACATTGAAATTGAATAGCTTTTAGCATTAGATTGACCCTAATATTACAATATTAACACAGAATGAAGAAAATGGAATCTCAAGCAAATATACAATGCACTTAATACCTTACAGTTTGCATCTGGTCTTCATAATAGTTTGATTGTGATACAGTATACTACAATACATAATTTATGTTGTCAATATATTTTGTTAATGTTACATTATTACACTTCTATTTCAACTTCCTCTTTCTTTTTCCTCCTAGTGAACTTATCGTATCCCACTATCATAATGCACAATAAATTATTCCTACCAAAAACCTACAGAGACACAAGTTCCAATCATTGATAAGAATGAGAAAAATTAAAAAATAAATAATTAATTGTTATATATTTTTAATATCTAAGGTAATCATAATGTTAATCTTTATTATAATAAGAATTATATTTCAATAACATTTCTCATATTTCACCTACAACAGTTCTCATATTCCACCTACCATCACATTAACTGTCTTTCCTGTTCACGGCAGAATGTACAATAAATAATTCTTACCTAGAACATATAGTCCCCACACACAACCCCTTTCAGCATACTACAGCATTCACTGCATAATGCACAATAAATTATTCCTAACCAAAACCTACAGAGACACAAGTTCCAATCATTGATAAGAATGAGAACAATTTAAAATAAATAATTATTTGTTATATATTTTTAATATCTATGGTAATCATAATGTTAATCTTTATTATAAAATTAATTATATTTCAATGACAGAATATTATAATATCAAGGTGGTCAAGTCATAAATTTAAATAAAAACTCTGAATTTTGGTACAGCTTAGCTAAAGCTTAGGTAAACATAATTAATGCGATTGCTAGCATTCTCTAAATATTATTAGAGGGTACTGTGTTCTGCATATTAAATGGATTTTTTTTTTTTACAAATTTGAATTGGAATGGACACCAAAAAATACAATTGATAAACATTAGTTTGAAAAAGTAATAAATTAAAATAATCACATTTAAAGGATATGGAAAAATAAAAAAATAATTAAGTAAAGCTTAAATTTAATTACCTTTTTGAAAACTAGTAGTAAATGTGTATACTGTATTGTTCAAATGTATTGTTTGCAACAAATGAGGAAAATGCTTTACTTATCTCAATTTATTTTATAACTGATGAAAGTCAACCAACTTTTAACAATTATTATTATCCTAATAGTTTAACACTCGTTTTGTATGGTAAAATTATACCATATATATAATAAACATTTATAATTTCATTATATACACCGGATACATTCAACTTCATAAATAAACTGAGATATATTTTTTGGTAATAAAAGTCAAAGTAGTTGTTGCACAAGCTCACATCATAAAACACTACGAGTTACAAATTAATCCACAGAAATGTAAACACTCTGGTCACTTTATCATGTGATTTGCTTGTATAACCATATATATCCTAATGTGAGTACTGGCTACGAAGTCAGTTTGTGGGAGTACAACATAAAAAGAAATCAAGCTGCAAAGTTTAGCCTATCAATGTCACATGACCACAGTGGAATGTTAAATATAGAATGAAAAAATGGTACATACACATTATACATATTGTATTTCTTTTCCTTTGTTACTTAGTTATTTTATTTTTTATTTCTTTAAATTTTTTATTTATTTTTATTTTTTTATTTTTTTTCATTTTAATTTCTTTGTTTTTCTATTTATATTTCCTTTGTTACTTGTGTTATGTATTGAGGGTCCCTAATGATCAGCTCCGGCTGGATGGACCACCTTCGTAAAATATTGTTGAAATAAATAAATAAATAAATACATTTATTAATAGGACTAAAAATAAAGTAACTACACAAATACAAATTTTAGTGTATTGTACAAGCAACAGGTGTTTAAAAATTGACTCGGCCTTCCAAACAAATGTTGCCTTTTTATCTTCTACCATACAAGTAAAATATAAGTAATAATTTATTGAATGTTATTTGCTGAATACAAGCTTTCATTACCACTGTCGTTACTTAGACTGAGGTTGTCTCAGATTTAGATCAATTAAAATTGCTCAGCCTTCAAGTAATAAGTAAGTTATAATGTATATATTGAATCTATTTGAAGAATACATTTAAGCTATCATGAGCCATTACTTCATCAAAATACATTGGTTTTATGTATTAATGCAAAGGTCTGTAATATATATAATTGACATTTATGAAACAGAATACATGTAAGTCTAAATGTAAATATATAGTATTAAGTTTACAAACTGTCAAAATAAACAGTTATGCCAGGCACATACTGGTGGAAAAGGCTAAACATTTCTTCTCCCACAAAAGTGACAAAACAACACTGCAGAAAAACAGAGATCAACAGCATTTTGTTACAGGAAAAATTAAAATCAGCTCCAGACACTGGCCACACCCACATTGTACTTATACTATTGATGGTTTGATGGCAGTATGGTAAGTTAGTCAATGCATGGTCAATGTCATCATACATACAAGTAGTCTACTAACTATAAATACAGTAAAAAATAGTTTGTTGGTTTATTCCATGTCATATGCAACTCTATGTTGGGACTCAAACTTATGGAATGCTTTATTAATAAACAGACAAGGGCACCCTCGCTGATATAACAATAATGAAAACATCACGAAGATCATAATTAAGGTGCCCTCATTGATACAGCAATTACTTAAACATCACATGCAAAGAAAGACTTACAATATTATTATATACAGTGCATTATCATAAAATTAAAAAATGTCTGAACTAAAATGTATTAAATAATTTTAAAATTATATTGTTAAAAAGCATATAATCATAAACAAAACAGTTATTTAGTTTTAAACTAAGGAATTATCTTAATTTTCTCATTTGTCCAGCAATGTCCTTTCAAGTC